TAAGTTGGTGGAATCACGGACTGGGGAAGAGTTCTTTCGACAAGCCGATGCCTTCATTCTTAGAGTCTTCACGACAAAAACACCAGAAGTGTCGGCCTGCCTCACCCGATGTTCCGCCTACAAATGGAAGGGAAGGTAACATAGGGTGGAGACCTTACCCAAGAGATGCAGTTCAGCATTTTATTGTGAATTCTGTATCTTTCTCCCCCTCGAAACGTTGTGCTCTATTTTATATATTAGCGGAATCATTTTAAAAAAGCACCTGTAGTTTTGTGTCACATACTGCAGTTATAAACTTCAGCTTCGACTAAAATTTACTTGGCAATGCTTTTTTTATTGGCCGCCCGGGATCTCTATCATGTTTTTTACACTGTTTTTAAGACTGGAAACTTGACCTGTATATTATCAGTTTTTGCCAATTAGCAACCCTTTTTGTCGAGGAATGCTGATTGGTCGAGAAACTCTGCTTATGCTGGTAGTAATTGACATTTTCAATATAAACTAGGGCATTATGTAATACTAGATGGCCTACCCAATGCTTGCTTAATCTTTTGAAACAAATATTGTAGTATTTTAAAATGCAAATTTTGATGGCTTACCCCTGGGGTTGACGTGGCATTGACCACCTGGTGGTGGGGGTGGGGCCCATCCCCACCACCGGGGGGTCAATACCATGTCAACCCCAGGGGTAAGCCATCAAAATTTGCATCAATACTACAATATTTGTTTCAAAAGATTAAGCAAGCTGCGGTGGCCGAGTGGTTTAAGGCGCTAGATGCCGGCGATAACTGGGTCACGTTTCGCGCGCTGAACGCCGTTCGCATTAAGATTTAAAAAAATAATAACTCCTCGCATTGTGAGCTTGGGCCTTCCTGTGGTATGACCTCCTCCGGGATTACGTGATTAGCATGACAGTTACAGGGCCAAATAAACCAACAACCACGAGATGTCAAAAGCTCATGCTTGAGTTGTGCATATTGTATTTTCTCGATTAAACACCCCCAGCGTTAATTTCAAATTTGTCTTCGTGAATCTGGCGTTTATTTGACTTTTGCAATTTATTCGACCCGGGAGCACAGGGAACCCGAGCACTATAGCAGCAGTAAAAATAAATGTGATGTTATTTACCTGTGTTCTCGTGTCTTTTTGAGTTGTTTTGAGTTGTTAAGAAGGTCTAGAAGGGATCTGAATGAAGCGAAGGCGGTTTACATCTCCGAATATTATCTCGCCTACCGCTTAGTTTCGATTAACATCGTTAACTATTAACTCTCCCGATGAGAGTTAATAGTTAACGAGGATAATAGAAACTTGAGACGTAATAGGAAGGTCATAATTACAACTGAAGTGGCAGACGAGATAATATTCGGAAATATAAACAGACTTCGCTTCATTCAAATGACTTCTAAACGACTCGAAAAGACACAGGAACACAGGTAAATATAAACAGCACATTTATTTTTACTGCTGATATAGTGTTCGGGTCCCCTGTGCCTGGAGTTTGTTAGAGTTTTTACTCATAAGTTTTGAGAGCTAAATATCATATGATTTAGCCTGTTCCGTGCTCTCGCTTAGTGGGGACGACCGAAAGAGCGGGCGGGCGACTATAACTTCCAATATAAATAACTGGGTGGTCTTATTTCCCTATTTATCTAGTAGACCCGGCGTTTATTCGGAACCCGGCGTTTAATCGAGAAAATACGGTATGAGGCCATGCTGTGAAATGTGGCGGAAAAGCGAAAAGCTCTCCAAATTTGCTAATTGCTGATGTTATGCAAGATATCGAAACTTCCTATTGGATTTTTGCTGCCTAGTTCATCTATAACAGGCTCTGTGCGATATATGTTTGCCACGTGACCTTCTGGCGGGGGTGTTTGACGTGATCCAAGATGGTGGAACACAAAATACCAGGAAATGTCAAAATGGATAATAAGAGAGGGTTTGAAGAAAATGATAAGTTTTTAGCTGAAATCACTGTGACGTTTGTCGTGATATGTAAACATGCTACAGTTGTTTTGAAATAAAATTAAAACAAAAGATACAAGATAGTAAAGAAATCAGTCATCCAAGAACTACTCTTATTTGCAGTACAGCATTGTTTAGCATTGTCTGTATTGATTTAATAAAAGTTGTATTAAAAGATATAGGTAACTTAATAAGAAACTTTATGTACTAAAACTTCCAAAAAGCTACTAAATATTCTACATCATCAAAACGAAGAAACAAATCTAAACCTGCTAGAATTCTTTTCGAAACATTTTGGTGTTCAATATATTAAAGCCCTTGCTTGACTTCAAAATTGTACGCATAATTACCTTTTTCAGGAACATTGCACATGTTTCAACTGTTTATAGGCGAGCTGGTAAACGACCTTATAAGGTCCACAGAAGCAAACCACAGTATTTATTTTCACAACATGATCAGGGACAAATTTGAAAGCCAAACAGGCGAACATCTGAACACGAAAAGTGCTTGAGAGAGACTTCAGGCAGATTACCTAAAGCAAACAGTTTTTCCTCTCTTGAAGGCTTCGAATTCCCACTATCACACCCCAACATATATTCTTAACTTATCTTTTTTTTTTAAAGGTTAAACTACCCTTGTTTTACACACATGTTTAACACGGATTCGTTTTTATACATGAGTTATCATGAAAATCCCCTCCTCTGTCGGCGTTTCTTGTTAATGGTGAACAGCTCACTCTCCGAAAGTTGTCTTGGAGTAGGGGAAATCTTCACAGTGGTGCGAGTGGTGCGTTCGTCACCACCTAAAAAGGATGAAGATTAAAAAGTGAATCAAATTCATCTTGTTTGTGCGCCTTTTAAATCAAAAACTTGGGAAAGAACTCAAATGTGTAGCTTGGCTTTTAGCTGGCTAATCTCTGTGCGGGAAGAAAAAGCCCATGTACTTAGTGGTTGGTCTGCAGCGAGACCGTAACTTTGATATCTCCACAGCTCATGACAATAACTGTGTCAAAGACGACTGTTCTTTTTTTTATCCCATGAGTACATCGCGGAAGGATAAAAAAAAGTAGAAAACCATAACAAGATAAAACCCCTGCTCGGGGAATGTAATAAAGGGTAAGATTGGTTACAGTTTGCCGTCTGGCCTAAAGAACAAGTATCACACTGATGATGAATAGACCATTTAACAGTTGTCTGCTCAGTGACCTGGCCTTAGAATGGCAGCGAGGTCGAAGATGACCTTGGGTTTGATACAGACCTCACTGCTTTTGTTGTATAAATCAAGTTGTTCTTATGCTAATTAGTTTTCATTTACATGATAAAAGCAGAGAGGTCTGTATCAAAGCAAGGTCACCTCCAGCCTCGCTTGCATTCATGGGCCAGGTTACTGAGCACACAACTGTGACGACGGCGACGAGCCCATAGTTTTGGGCTCGAGGTTGCTGAGCCACTTATGGCGCCAAGATGACATGGAAACTAGCAAAGTACTCTCGAGTGTTTGGGCTATGTTTTTGAACGGAATTTACGATTGTTTTAACGAACATTTATTAAAAGTAGCACTTGTCCCCCCAACTTATGTGATCTGGCATGACTCGTCGGAAAAAAAAACAAACAAAAACAAAAAACAAAAAACAAAAACAAAAACTGGACGGGTTATTCTATGGAAGATTGTCAAAGACGTCATTAGTAGCCGTGATCATGCTCAAATAAATTACAGACATTTCTTACTTGAAGTAGCATCTTCCTCGTCGTCGTCATCATCATCGTCATCAGTAATCATCACGCTTTCTTCTGTACTGGGGGATGGAGTCGTGTTGTCTAATTAAGTGACAATTTGAAGGAAGACTGTCAAATGTTGCAGCAAAAGTCCTATGTCCTTTATTGCGAATAGATATGGGCGAAGAGTAAATAGTCTGGGGTGGGGAGGG